GTTTCACAATATAGTTTCTCTCTATTATCTCTCTCTTCTTCTTTTTCATTCTTCTAGAAAGGTTTTGTTTCACGATTTTGAAAATTAACCACAGAAGGAATTACCGGGTCGAGTCACGGACTAGGTCGCTCTCTTTAAGACGTTTCACGTCACTATCCAAAGTTATGCAAAGCAGTCGAACTACCACACCGCCTCTAAGATAAAACATACCAGTTCTATATTGTACGATTACTACTTGCATGGTAGATAACTGGACTAGAAATACATTTTCTGATGGTACAAAGACCATTCAAATATGGTACAAAGACCATTCAAATATGGTACAAATACCGATTGTAGTATCTGGTATAACAACTAGTCGTAATAATCTATTAAACCAAGAGAAATTCCAATAATTCTCCAAAGAGAAATCAATAATGATCATTTGACCACTCAAAATGATTTCTCATACAAAGAGAAATTCAAATAACTCTCTAAAGATAATTTAAAAATTATACTTGATAATTTCTCAACTCAAATGAGGAGAAATTAACATACTTCTCTAAAGAGAATTCAAGAAAATACTCGAAAGATTCAATAAGTAGAAAGAAATAGGGAGAAATTGGCGCTTCGACAATTCGAAAGACGCAAAATTATGAGAGTGAGAAAGGAAAAATCTCAAAAATACGTTTTTGGTATATTTTAGAATGAAACAAGAAATTTTCTTATATAATGAAGTGAGTGAGAAAATATATCTCACTTAAGCAACGTGGAACTAAAAAAAAATTTATACTAACACACAATGTAGAACTTGACATAAGAAAATTTTTTTAAAATTTATCTCCCTATATTTAACATAATTTTTCAACAAAAACTCTAATCATTAGTGCAGAAATGACTTTTTACATCGGGCGAAAATGACATTTTACATCGGGTCTGAGTCCGATGTAAAGCCAGACGATGTAGTAAATTAAAGACATTTTACATCGGGTTTTGCTCCGATGTAAGAAATACACCAAGCACATCGGTTAAAATTTTAAGTCTGATGTAAAAAAAAAAATAATTGTAAATTTTAATTATAAAAGGGTGTTTTTACATCGGTTGTGTGGTTAACCTGATGTAAAAAGTAATGTAGTAAACAAAATAAAAATGTCAAACACGCGCCTGGTGACATTTATTACATCGGTTCTCTTATTTGACCGATTTGAAAAGTCCTAGGTGACACTTTTAACATCGGTTCTGTGGTTAACCCGATGTGAAAGGTGGTTTTTTACATCAGTTCTCTTGTTACGAGTATAAACTATTTGCCTATTTTTTAGCCGTTCCCTGTAACTTTTTTGGTACCTAATTTTTCATATTTTTCCAACATCACACAGACCATAATTAGGTCGCTATTTTCCATAGTTTCCCAACATCATATAGACCACATTTAGGTCGTTATTTTCATAGTTTTCCAACATCACATAGACCATATTTAGGTCGTTATTTTCATATTTTTCTCACAAATCTAATTTCATGGCACCAAATATCTAGTATACACATAATTGATTTACAAAAGTAATGATATAAGATATACACAAATGTACTAAATTATAAGGAGGTTTACACGATGAACCATTACAACAACAAAAAGCTTAACCTTTATATAACTCAAAGAAACATGTTGCCTAACGGAGTCGCAAATCATACAAATCATCTTCTGTTAAGTTCGTTGGGTCATCAAATACCTGCAACACGTAAATAACAATAGAGTTATTTTTTGAAAATTCACATTAAGTTGCAAAATGTAAAGTAAATAACAAATTAAAGTCATTTTTATTACCATCATTCAAGAATTGGTTATATTGGCAGAGACAATATCCAACATATTTTTCATCACATAATACCAACAATCATTAGAGTTAGGTTGTTTCCTTGTCTACAAATGAACGACATAATTAGTGAATACTTATATGATAAAATTAAATATATAATTATAATTTACACCACGCTTACCTTGGGTTGAAGCCATGTAGCCTTTTTTCTATTCACATTTGTTGCTTGATGAACCCCAAAATCTGTTTCGCCTCGTAATAACGATTTGGCATTATGTTACCTTCTGGAAGCATCTGTGTCAACAATTCAAGCAATTCGGTAAAACGTTTGTCAGGCCACCCATTATTTGCCTTCAAATTAAACAATTTTAACACAGTTGACAAACATGTAAAATTTGTGCATCTCGGGTACAAAGGTTTATCCTTGTCACTGCATAAAGTATCATATGTATGCGCCTTCTTAAACGAATCTTGTCCAATATCATGCATCATGTCCTCCAGACGACCATCCATTTCTGCACTAACATTATCTCTTTGGGACACATTTGACTTTGCTACTACCTCACCGTGCCATATCCATTGTGTATAACTTTGACAAATCCCATGACAAATTAGATGATCCATGATTTCTTTCTTATTGAGTTTCGGTTCGTGATTTGCACAACGAACACATGGACAGAGAAAAAGCAGATGAAGACTTTTTTCAGCATCACTCTTAGGAGGAGCAAGATTTTTTTTAGCATTACTTTCAGAAAACTCTAGAAATTCCATCACTTCATTTTCGTACTCGACACTTAATCGGTTGGCTCTCATCCAACTACGATTCATACCTATGTTCCGAAATTAATGCATACATAGTTAAATCATTGGGACGCCTATAATAGTCCCTCTTTTGGACATTAGAGAGAACAAAAGTCTCTACTTGTAAACACATGGCATAAAAGAAGAATTGAGAAGTTATAAAGAATGAAAAGAGAACCTGCAATGTCGTGGCGGCTGGATGACTCGCGGTTAAGAGAAAAAGAGGGACACAAATTCTGCGAGAAACAAAATATCAATAAACTGAAGCAATTGGAGTTTATTTGGTTAATTAGTTATTTTATTTTCAGATACCAAAATAAGAGAAACAACAAAGAGGGTACAAAACTTACACTATGCACTCAAGGTTGTATTTAGACAAAGTCAATGATAGGATTTGTCACCAAGATGGGATTTAGACAAAGTTCCGAAATTGCAACCAAATCATTAGGACAATGATAGGATTTTCATAATTTATTTTTATAATCAACCATTGTAATAACAACAGAAATTTTTTCACTACTCTTTTTTTTTTCTTTCCGAAACAACCAAAAAATAAATTTATTTAAAAAATGTCGTTTAAACTCAAAAGTCACATTTTATTTTCAAGTAGAATCATTTCTAAAAAAACATAGTCAATTCTACTCTAAAACAACCAAACATGTTTAAATCAATTATGCACATCCAAAATCAAATTCTAGATGCTCCAAACGTGAAAACAAACATATACTAAATCAATTTTGATACAATACACTTTCAATCAAAACGAACTTTATAAACTCAATTCAATCAAAATCAATTTTCATCACCCCAAAATCAAACTCTTAGGTATAGCTCATCTTTGACATTTGCATCCAATATTGACTTTTTTCTTACCATTCCAACAAGTATCAACTCAAATACATTGGACAACACTAGCATTCATCAATCTCACAAATTCACCACCAAAAGAGAATCAATCTAAAAAAACAAACAACCATAAATCACTATAAATCCCATATAATATAGTCCAATGGCGCGGAGGGATGGAGGTTTCGTCGTGGTGACGACGGCGCGGAGGGAGGGAGCTTTCACGTGGTAGACGACGCCGCAGAGGGAGGGAGTTAACTCGTCGTGGGCGAACGGTCGTTGGACGGAGGGAGGACGACTTCGTCAGTGGCAGAGGGAGAAATGATTTTAGGGTTTGAAAGGAATGATTGGTGAACGAAACCTTTTTTTGGGTTTAGGGGGTTTTTTAAATCGGTTGAAATTGAAACCGATTTAATATTACAATGCACATTTTATTTTTTTCCCTTTTTAAATCGGTGGAAAACTTACCCGATTTAAAATCTATTTTTAAAATTTTTTTTAGTATTACGTTTTACATCGGTTGACACCAAAACTAATTTCAAATCCCATATAATAATTTTTTTAATATTACTTTTTAAATCGGTTGGAACCAAAACCGATTTAAAATCCCATATAATATATATTTTTTTTAATATTACTTTTTAAAACGGTTGGAAGCATAACCGATTTAAAAACCCATTTATTAATTTATTTTGTAAACTTTTTAAATCGGTGGATCTCATAACCGATGTAAAATCTCATTTAATAATTTTTTTAATTATTTACGATACTGCCACCGTGTTTATAATTTACAAATCCTAATTTTTTTACATCGGTGGAATAATTGGTGCGATGTAAGAGTTCTAATAATTTTTTATTATTATTTACGATACTGTCACCGTATTTATAATTTCATATTTTACATCGCTTTGAGTGAATACCCGATGTAAAATTATTTTTCCAAATATTTTTTTTTAGTAGTGAATTGTTTAACCAACAATACCAACGTTAGAGAAAATAATTGAGAAGCCAACACAACTAGGTTGATAGTTAATGCCATGACCTCCTTTAAGTCCTTCCTAACAACCATGATTTTGAAATTGAACTGATTCTCAACTAAGAAAGTAAACCGTAGAATTTGAAGCTAAGCCTAAAGTCCAATAAAGTTGTATTTGGAATGGAAATATAAATACTAAGCTCATTACCTAGAACTTTTTCTTTCAAAACATTAGATGGAAGTTTTTTAATTAAGATGATAAAGGACACTGATCCATACAAGGTGAAGATACTAAAAGAAAGGTATGCTCAGAATTCAACATGAAAACTTTCTGCCACTTGTATAAATTTTAAAACAAACACACAAAGTTATACAATATGACATCACAAGTGAATCTTAACTTTTGCAAGGAAGATAAAGTCAAATTGTTTCGTATAATTTATAAACTATTTTCATAAACTATCATATAGGACTTATAGAAATAAGTTGTTTCCATAAACTCTTCTAAAGAATCTCACACATATATATTGCTTATTCGAGCCGCTAAACTCAAATAATTAAATTCAAACATGTTTTTCTGTTTTTTAAGTGTTTAGAACTAAAACATCAATCTTAGAAGGAGCAGTACTCCTACCACTACTAGAAAGACTCCATTGATCAGAAACAAAGCTTCTTGTTGTAGATGAAATTCCACAACCACCCCCAGATGCTGCAGCAGCAGCAACACCACATTTGGCTACAATCCTCACACTCTCAATCAAATCTTTTGTTTGAGACTCTTGTGACAAAATCTTCAATAACTTTTCAGGAGTTATCACCAACTTCACTTTCCAAACCCCAATACTCTTTCTTCTTTTACTAATACTGCTTTTGTTATTAACACTGCCTGGATTAGTCCTACAAGAGAAAGATTCTGCTGATACCTTTTGAAGCAACCCTACACCTTGATAGTATTGGTAATCCAATGACATTCTATATGGAGTAGGATGAGGTGTTGTAGGAACACGTTGAGACCTAACATGTCCTTGCCGGACAATGATGCTGCTGCCATTGTCACCCACAGTGGTTTTATTGTTCGGTGGCGGGATAGTCGTCGGTAGTAAATAGTATGACTGTCCTGCCACCAACTCATCGAATTGACAAAGTGGTTTGGAAAAGTGGTCATTGGTTGGGAATAAGGCGTGGCCTTGAAACTCGTGTGTGATGAAATATGGTGTAATTGGAGGATAGAACTCCATGATGTTACCATCATATGTTATGATTTTGATCAATGTGTCTGGATCTGACATTGCACCCAACAAGCAGTTTCCCATGTTGGATATTGTACCTATGCATGTGTGTGTGTGAAGTGTTTTTATGGTATAGTTTGAAAGGAGGGAATTCAAGAGCGGGAAAATTGAAGGGATGAAAAGAAAAAGATGTTGAATGAATGATTCTTTTTCTTGGAAAGAAATGATTGTTAAGTAATATGTGAGAATAATTTTATTCCATTTTGGTGACAGTATGCTGCTAGGTCCACTATATCAAGAGAAGAAAGCAAAAGGACTAGAAGAAGATAAACATGGCATTCCTTTGAGCTTTTTCTTTTACTTTTTTACACTTTTTCTTTGTACTTTGATAAAGACATAATAGACGTCTCAAGAAAATCAAAATTCATGCAGTGTCTAAGGTATGCATGATTTTCTATATACTTCCTCCGTTTTTTTTATTATAAGTAGTTTTTAATTTTTTACAGTATTAAAAAAATATAATAATTATGATATAGAAAAAAGAAATTACGAAGTGTTTTATAAAATTATTCTTCATTAATGATATTGGAAAGACAAATTTAAATAATCAAAAAGAGAAAAATTAAAAAAAGATAGAATAATAAATATTTAAAAGTATAATAGGAAAAATAACATTAATGATTCATTAGTATTATAAAACGACTTATATTATAGTACAAAATATTTTTCTAAAGTGATTTATAATAAAAACGGAGATAGTATAAAATAAAGTTATGAATGATTCTCATGAAAATAATATCCAAGAGTAATTATGACATAAGTTAACTTTTACGAATGAGTTTCAAGCACTACAAGAAAAATTGCATATAGCTAGCGGTTAAACCCCTCACTAAAGCAAAAAATCCATCACAAAACATCAATTTGCGAGGGGACAGAGCCCCTAACTAATTAGGGCATTGCAAATTATTGGCTAGGGGATAAACCCTTCGCAAATTTGTCTAGGGGATAAGCCCCTCGCAAAATATCATAAAAAAATTCAGACTATTGCGCTGCAGACATAGACACAAACTAGAGCCACAGAGGGGTTAAACCCCTAGCTAACTTACCTGCTTTTTGAATTTAGTGAGGGGTAAAACCCCTAGCTATCTGTGTTAGAATTTTGTGAGGGGTAGGGCTGGAAATGAACCGAACCAACTCGAAGATAGTTCAAAACTCGATTCGACAATTAAATCGTTGAATGTTAGATGTCGTATTTCACTTATTTGATCTATCAAATATTGGCATCTTTCATTCATTTTCGTCAATTAAGTGTTGAAAATCACTCTTGTTTTGGTTGGTTTGCAACATTATGAGAAAATCTCTTGGTACCTTTGATTTGTGTGTTATTGTGCAGGAATTAGGCACAAAACAAGTTAAAAGTAAGACACAAGAAATGGGCAAGGAAAGCAAGACAACATGCAAAACCACCAAAATGTTGTCACGCTCGCTAAGCAAGCAGGTAGCGAACGTGCCAGCGAGCGTTCGCTAGCTTGCTCGCTAGGCGAGCAGGCCAGCAAACGCGCCCAGAATTGTATAGTGCCAAAATACCAAAAGTTCGCTAGCTGTTCGCTAGGCGAACAGACAAATCCTGAATGTGTATTTAAGTGATTTTCTTGCTTTTTTAGGTCATAATTTCATTTTGTAATATTTTTGATAACATAACTTTGTAAGAGCACAGATTGTGTCTTAGTAATATCTCTATGTTTTGATGATAACATTAATGATAATTTGTATACAAGAATTATACTCTCTAAATTTGTTCTAAACTGTTTTCTACAGGCACAAAAGATTTTAATCTTAAAGAGCAAATTTGATGTGAACAATAAATTCTGAATGGCTCAAGAGCATCTGAAGATTAGAAGAATCTGAAGTATAAGAGCTTAGTCATCAAGATTCTGAAGATACAACACGCTGCATATATTATCAAGAATCTGAATGAAAGAAGACTCTGAGTGAAGAGACTCTGAATGAGAGAAGACTCTGATCTGAGTGAAGACTCTGATCTAAGAGCATGTTACGCTTCAAGCACACAGCTGCACCAGACTCTGATTCAGCAACATCTGAAGAACATCTTAGGCTCTGAAGTTTCCAGAAGATTCTGAAGACTGAAGACTCTGATATTGATTGTTGATCTGAACTATCTGAAGAATTATTTGAAGAAGATTATTTTAATATATCCGTTGGAATATGCCAGCAAATCTTTCCTTAATTGGGATAGACATAAATCTCTGCAAGAAGATTATTCCTCTGATACATTCCAGATATGGTAAATTCACAGCTCAGCAGACAATTGCTACACCCACATTTTGTGCGCCGTCTCTCTGCTGCAATAGTACAAAGGACAGTACTATTTGATATTGGAAATATCTTCTCCAACGGTAAAATATTCTCTCCAATATTCAAGTGGCTATATAAAGGATATCATAGCACTTTCTTCAGGACGAAAAAAAGACGAAAATCATTGCAAGAACACTCTCACGCGAAAAACTCTCAAGCTCTCATATTCTTGGCTGTTCATACATTGTTCTAAACTTAGAGAAATAACACAGTTGTGTTTATAGCTTTCATAGAAGCAATTCATTACTCTTACATTGTATTACATTAATTTGTAAAGGAAGTTTTCCTTAAGAGGATCTAGGTTAGATCAGTAGCTCTTGAGAAGACTAAGAACAGTTGTTCTTAGGTGTTGCTATTTGTAATCAGTTGATTTGAATAGTGGATTAAGTCCTTGTTGAGAAAGGCAAATCACTCTTGAAAAGGGTGGACTGGAGTAGTTGAGTTCAACGAACCAGGATAAAAATACTTGAGTGTTTATCTTTGATTATTTTCTGTCATACTTATTCAACCCCCCCTTCTAAGTATTTTCTCACCTTCAGTTGGCATCAGAGCTCCGGTTCTGAGTGTGCATTCACTTAACTGTGACAGATAAAGATCCAGTGAGAAGAATACTCTGTTATTTATTTGGTTGCTAATATGGGTGATATTCCTACATCAAGCAACAAATATGAAGGAGACAGAATCAGCACCAAACCTCCAATGTTTGATGGAGAAAAATTTGATTATTGGAAAGATAGACTTGAAAGTTTTTTCTTGGGGTATGATGCTGATCTCTGGGATTTAGTCATTGATGGATATGAACATCCCACTAAGGATGGCAAAAAGATTGATAGAAAATCAATGACTGAGGAGCAGAAGAAAGAATTCAAGAATCATCACAAAGCCAGAACCATACTTCTTAATGCAATCTCTCATACAGAGTATGAGAAGATTACCAACAGTGACACTGCTCATGATATGTTTGAGTCTCTCAAAATGACTCATGAGGGAAACACTCAGGTGAAAGAAACAAAGGCTCTGGCGCTGATACAGAAGTATGAAGCGTTCAAGATGGAAGAATCTGAGAACATTGAGACTATGTTTTCCAGATTTCAGATTCTAACAGCTGGGTTGAAAGTTCTGGACAAGGGCTACTCAACATCTGATCATGTCAAGAAGATCATCAGAAGTCTCCCTACCAGATGGAGACCTATGGTGACTGCATTAAAGCTGGCCAAGGATCTGAACAAAATCTCATTAGAAGAACTCATTAGTTCTTTGAGAAGTCATGAGATTGAGCTGGAGGAAGATGAACCCCAGAAGAAAGATAAAGGTAAATCCTTAGCTTTTAAATCTAACAAATCTGTTAAAGCTTTGCAGGTAAATGAAGAAAGCTCTGAGGAATCTTCTTCTGAAGAAGAAGATGAACTATCCATGTTGTCCAGAAGGATCAACAAACTCTGGAAGCACAAAGGGAAGAAGTTCAACAACTTCAGAAGATCTGATCAAAAGAGAGAATCTTCTGGACACAGAAGATCTGGCAAGAAAGAGGTCACTTGCTTTGAATGTAAAGAACCTGGACACTACAAGAGTGAATGTCCCAAACTTCAAAAGGAAAAACCCAAAAGGAAGTTTGATAAAAAGAAAAAGGTTCTGATGGCTACATGGGATGACTCAGATGAATCTGAATCATCTTCTGAATCTGAGGAAGAATGTGCAAATGTTGCGCTGATGGCCAACACAAATGATCAAGATGAAGGAACGTCATCATCTGAATCTGAGTCAGAATCAGACTCTGACTCTGAAGAGGTATTTTCTGAACTCTCCAGAGCTGAACTTGTTGAAAGTTTATCTGACATGTTGGAAAGCTACAGCAAGATTAAACTCAAATACAAGAAGCTGAAAAGAAATCTTGAATCTGAGATTGATCTTCTGAGAACAGAACTTGTTGAGCAGAAAGAAATAAATTTAAAACTCAAAAATGATTTAGAAACAACTCAACAAGAATCTGATACTGAAACAGAGTCAAGTGAAAACATTTTAGAAAAATATGACTCCAGTTTTAAAAGATTCCTCACTAAAAGCATAGACAGAAGCAAAATGGCTTCTATGATCTATGGTGTTAGTGGGAACAACAGAAGAGGCATTGGATGTGAATCCTCCTCTGGAAGCAATCCAAAATCTGTTGATAAACTCTTCATCAAGAAGACTCCTCTGTATTCTCATTTTAAGTTTGGTCATCTGAATGATATTAAACATACAAGCTCTGAAAAGAGTACTTATGTGTTTAAGCCAAGGGTTAGCCAGAATAAACACTATGTTGAAAAACAGAAGTTTAGGCAAAACCACAGAACATCTAACTCCAAAGGACCCAAGAAGATCTGGGTACCTAAAAGCAAAATAATACCTGTTGCAGATGTTCTTAGCAGCAAAATCCAGACACCAATCATGGTACCTGGACTCTGGATGCTCACGACATATGACGGGCGAAAGGTCTATGTTCCAAAGCCTGGAACTTAGATCTGGAGGGGACGTGAAATTTGGAGGGAACCAGAAGGGCAAGATCATTGGCTCTGGTACAATAGGTAATGGTAACCTACCCTCTATTTCTAATGTTCTGTTAGTTGAAGGATTGAAACATAATCTATTGTCCATAAGTCAATTAAGTGACAATGATTATGATATCATCTTTAATCAAAAATGTTGCAAAGCTGTATGTCAAAAGAATG